AGGTACCTGGATCTTTCTGTTACTGTAAAACTGCAATTAAGTTACACAAGCAAAAACACGCCGTCTCTCTCCCTCTCTCACACCACCTGCTGGCCAACAGTGCATACACCCTGGGTTTCCTGAGACAGAGGAAACCTTCATAGCCTGCATGAGAACTGGGTGCAGCGGGATGGAGGGTGGGGTTCTTGTCGGTGACAGTGACATACCACTGGGGGGTGTTTAACATCAGCAAGCTGGAGGCGAAGACAAGACAGTAAAATAAAAAATAATAAAAAAAAAAAAAACTGGGGATTTTTCCCGTTAATCCCACAGGCTCTGAAGCAGAATTTTTCATGTGAACAGCAGACCCTGAACGGCTACATTTCAATGGAGCAGTGGAGTCTGGAATCTAGGTCACACCAGGTGGGGGGGGGGGTGAAGCAGGGGAGCGAAGATTTGCTTCACTGGTCAATAAATACCTGGGGAACTTCCTCTGGTGTAAATAAAAAATAAAAAAGATAAAAACAAGTGGCTGGGGTCCCCCCCTCACAACGCAGGGCAGGTAACAGGCAAACAAAGGCGTGGTGTTCACAGGAGATCCTGCTCAGATACGTCTCGTGCTCAGAGCCCCAGGGACACGCGAGGGAGCACCCTACCGGGAAACAAAGCCCCCAGCCCCCGCCGTTGAATCAGCGTTATTCATCGCTCTGTTTACAAACCCACCTCCCCCCCCAGATTTGAGGATGGCTGTGGAAGCATCTGGTTTGCATTGTGGCGAGTCTGACGCAGCCGACTTCTCCATCGGCAGCATGGCGGGGGGGGGGGGGGCACATGCCGCGTGAGCGCAGTCCCTCCCTGCCGACGCGCGTCTCCGTGACGATGATGCGGCCCCCCTCTACTCAGAACCTACAAGACCGCGCGCAGAGGAATACTGCAGCAGACACAAATACAGAAATCATGTGAGAAACAGAAACACAGCATATTCACAAACACAAACGAGGACGCGGTCTGGCTCATGGGAGGGTGGGGGCAAGTCTCCCCAAGGAGAACTAACCGTGTAAAATGCAGGAAGCCCCTCAGTCGCTTACGCTCGCTTGGACGTTTCATGTCCCATCAAATCTCACCACGTGCTGACTCGACAAACATGGGGACTGAGGCCCAGCTTCCTGCTGCCGCAGTTTATCACAGACCCCAGGGAAAGGCAGCCTTTCCTCTGACCGAGAGCGGCTCAGCGTTCCCTGTTCCCGCCGACAGCTGCAGACGGTAAGGATTCGATCTCGCCTGTCCTCTGGCCTCCCTGAAACGCGAGGTCAGACAGGGCAGACAGGCGCTAAGGTCCAACCTCCTCCCCGCATCCTCTCTGCGACCCCACACAAAGAAAAGGATCTGATTCTCGCAGTATAGTCAGCGTTAGAGGATTAAAATAAAAACAAGATTAAAAGTGAGCACTTCTTACTGAGCATTATATTAACACGCTGACGTGTAAAACTGAAATAAGCACAAATAATAGCAGCTTCAAAGAGAAAAATCAATTTAACAAGATAAAAGTTCTCCCTTCTAAGGCAATTGTCCTCACAGTGCGCTGATACTTCATATAAAAATTGATGCACTCCTACATTTCTCATCATAAAACAGTTAATTAAGATGAAACTTTTCAAATGACAAATATTTTTATATTTCAAAAGCAATTTGATTACAATCTTAATTGCACAAATGCCACAAACGGAACCTTCAACTGATAGAATTCATTATTTTAAAAGGTGCATTAATAATGAAGATCATTTCTATGACGACTCCAGCATTTTCTCACAGGCAAAGGTTAATACCGAGCAAAAGGCCATGCCCTCCGCATCCGGGTTGCCAGGTAACCATTACCGTGGGTACAAGTTCAAGTGGACCACAGTTATTCCCCAAGGGGCCATAGTTACTGCGACCAGAGCAAAGATATTCCGACGGCACAGCAATTGTTCTGTGAATTTTAAGGTACAGATGTGGATCAGCATCCTCAGAGGGAACACATTCGGGAGCAGGCGGAGTACGGCAAGTATGAGCACGCCACTCAATGCGCTCCTTTTACGCTCATCCTCAGAAATGCACTAGGAGTCACCCTGGACCGATTTTCTACAACGTAACGAATGACCGACAACCAACCAACCAACCAAACAAACAAATAACCAAACGAACAAGTAGCTGCAGCTGTAACTGCTGTGTACTCATCTACAGAGACCAAGCGGTTAGGCTCTGGTGAATAAGTGGCAGCACCAGCTACTGCCCGAGAAAACAACTATGACCACATGACCGACCACATGACCAACCACATGACCAACCACATGACCAACCACATGACCAACCACATGACCAACCACATGACCAACCACATGACCAACCACAGACGATAAGATAAGGGCCGCCCCTTGGGACTGGATTCAGATAAATGCCCACCAGATATACATCTGCACATTAAAAGGTTCAATACAGATCAGAGTGACATGTATACTCGCTGTCAAGCATCGGGAGACAGACGTCTGCCGCCGGTGTCAAAATAAACCAAATAAAAACAAAAACGCTGCATCTTGACCGCGAAGGAACCTGCACGCCAGCCCATTGACGGTGCTTAAGTCTGAATGTGGCCTTTTTAAATAGTCATTAAAGAGTTCCACTAGGACATCCTTGTTCATTCACCAAATTAAGCAGAACAGAAGAGGAACAGAGCGGCACAGTGATTTTTAAGGAAGTGTATAAATACATGACGGTTGGGGGGGGGCGAGCAGGGCAGATGGCACAGGTGGCAGTGTCAGCTGGCATGGTGTGACACATGGCTATGGGAAAACAGAAGAGCGCGGTGTCCCAGATGTGACCAGCAGGGGGTGTGGTCTCGTGGCCTGTGTGGGGGAGTCTGTCACGCGGCCATCGAAGATCCCTTGATGTGGTCTGAAAAATCTGTCACCCACATCACACACGTTTGTTCTCCAGAGATGACGACCGTCTATGAATCTGTGGGCTTAATGACTCCAAACTGAGTCAGGCCAGGGAAAAAAAAGAAGACAACCCCACCCCCACCCCCACCGCACCCAGAACATATATCATCATCGCTGACAAACATTAGGCAAACAACAGCAACGTTTGATTACAGAACTCCATGTGTCTCACAGAGAGTAAGATGGAGTAGACGAAAACAGAATTTTGCCACAGGGATCAATAAAGGTTCACTATTCTGTTCGAAAGCCTTGTCTTTAATCCCAATCCCAAAATTTTTATTAAAATTACACGCTTGGGGGTCTTAAGGTAGCAAATTTCCCGAAGATTTAACCTTAAAAAAAAAAAAAAAAACACAATTTCTCAAGAGTACCACAGCTTAACAGCCATATTTAATTAGCGTTCGTGATTAATCATTTTCGAGCGACCTCGTAAGATCCACTCACTGTGTAATTTGCACACATTAACATTTTCCCAAATCGGCAAGGAGAAGATTGGCGGGGCAAATTGTGGATACAGAGCTTTTAGGATGTATTCCATCTGATTAAGGGAATAATCACATGGCAGACGGGGCAGGACTGTGTTCGGGTTTTCGAATGCAGTCATCCCCATTCCATTTTCCATCCTCACCACCAGCTCCCAACAGCGGGACATTAACTCATTCGTTTGCAGTGCTACCTCAGTATCCAACCAGCAAATAAAAAATTCCCAGTATGAGACATCATTCTTCACGTCAACATCTGATTAAGGGTAACTTCATATTTTCCCCCATTGAAGGGCTTTATGACATCAAACACGAACTAGTGAGCATTATATTACATCACACACAGTAACACTGACATCATATCAAGGGAGCAGAGGCTCAGTTCGGGAGGCAGAGTCTGTTCACTTTGGGGAGTGTGAAAAAGGCCAGAACGAGGTTCTCAAAGGCGCCTGCAACCAACAATGGAATGTGTCATTAATTCCATCCAAATGCTTCTATCAAGAGCTGAAAACTCGTTGCGAAAAGGAATTCCTGGGTGTGTATCAGAGGAAATGGATCTTAGTAAAGCATCAGATAATGCCAACTGCCATCCATTACGAGAAGATTAACAGAACTTATGGTCTGAGCAGATAAAAATGACAATTAATCTCACGCTCTGCAGCTCGTTCAGTGATCACTGCGCACCTTCTGAGCACGCGCCTCTGACTCACTCACAATTTATCGCCAGCGAAGCACTTTGTTTCGTCGGTGAAACGCCGAGGCGACGCATCGCTGACGAGACCACACATGGGGAACGGGGGGGTGTCAGGGGTAGAATAGGGAGGGAGGGGCCACTGGAAATCATACCGCTTTCTAATATTTAAAAAAAAGTAACAAAAACCATCCCACAGAATAACAGTGGAAATATTCGGTCATCCAGACCCCCTCATGGCCAAACTCACTGCGCTCACCAAAAACAAAAATACACACAATGCGTGCAGTAACAGTTAAACAGATATAAAACATCTCATCTGCAGGCTTCTCTCATCCGCAAAGCACATATTTCTGATAAGGCTTCCAGTGCATCTGTCTCACTGGAAGCGACTCTCCAAAGGACGGACTGAGGACAGTGATTCAGGCGGCCGCAACAACTATTTATAAAGAGCCTTTATGTAACAGCGGGCAGACACTCTCAGCACTTCCAAGCATCTCACTCTGCTGAAGACGTCGTCTGACAGCCTGCGCTTTCCATTCTACACAAATTAATACAAATTAAACTCTGACGTCTGGGTGATCAAACCATATGGCCGATGCATCTATAGTTTTATGGCTGTTTGGGTTTTATATTCGATAGCATATTGGTGTCACTTCTTAAAAGATATGTTCTGTCATATTGTTATGGGGGGGGGGGCAGAAGCCTTTGGGATGTGTTAAATTTAATCAGTGAAAGGGGGGCTGTCAATGTGTTTGCGTTTCCTTTGTTATGGAGCCGAGGCACTGGAGCTCAAAAACAAGATAAGGGGAAATAAAAGCTGGACCCCCCCCCCCCCCCCACCCCCCAGCCCCGTGAGGGGGTACCCACCCAGCACGTTGCCTGAGGGCACCTCATCCAGCTCCTCCAGGTCTCGGCCCATCAGGAGGTAGAGACTCCCCAGGGGGCGGCAGGCCAGGTGGGGCACGGCCGGGAGATCATCTGTGGGGGCGCAGCCAGGGGCCAGCTGGAGGAGACGCAGAGACACAGAGGCGCGATCAGCGGGGGGGGGGGGGGGGGGGGGCGCAGCCAGGGGCCAGCTGGAGGAGACGCAGAGACACAGAGGCGCGATCAGCGGGGGGGGGGGGGGGGTTTGGGGGGTAGCTTTACTGAGGATCGCCAATCGCAGATGCCGTTAAGGTCGTTTGGTGGGCAGGATTATTGTGTCCTGTCAAATATAGCCAATCGGTAATTAACACCATGCTGTAGCCCCGCCCACAACATTTTTACCATCACCGTTCAAAGGCAGCTGAGAGGGGTTTTCTGAGCAAATCAAATTAGAAGAGTAGTGTGTTTTGGCGGGAGAGCTCTCACCGTCTGCAGACCGACTGCAGGGTCATACTTGGGACTGAGCACAAAGACCTTCTGGCCCTTTCTGACCACGCCACTGTACACCCGGGCGAAGGCGATGAAATGCTCCTTTTCTTCATCCTCCTCCTCCTCCGGCCGGTTCACTTTCAAGGCCGTTGCCTCAGAGGGTCTAGAAACGACGTCATTCCCTGCAGGGGAGGGTCCACATAAACACTTAGGCAAATGTAGACAGGAGTCCTACTGAGTGTTTATGTGGAAAATAGAAAGGCCCCCCCCACAAAGGACTGAGTAACAGTAAAGAAAAAAAAAGAGTTTCAGGTTCAAGTGTCATATCGCCGAGAGGGTTTTCAGCGAGCAGGAAGACAAAGGAAAGAAAGACACTCATAGATCACTGTGCCGGGATGTACCGATATGAGGCCCTAGGGGGCAGCCAAGAGCCTCAGCAGCTACGGAAACATCTTAAGTGTCTAAGTCAGTGTTTCCGAACCTGGCCCTCAGGGACCCACAGACGGTCCAGGTTTTTGCTCGTTCCCAGTTCCCTACTGGAAGCAAAACTCTCAAACTCATTGCGGGTCCATGAGAACCAGATTGGGAAACACTTACCTAAGATCTAAGGGGAAAAGCCTCTGGGATGTGCGGAGGTTAAGATGAGACAGGGGATTTCCCAGGCAGACACCAAGTTGTAGGTAGTCTGCAAGGCACAGTGGGTACTCACAGCAATCGCCAAGAGAGCCTCCATCCCATCAGCTATGCCGAGGAGGGCACAATCAGGCCACTAGGGGGCAGGCCTTGGTCACATGACATGATGCTAAAAGCACTATGAAGGAACGCCCATGTGTGTTTCTGTGTTCAGGTCTATCGTGCCGCCCTGACTAAACACTCACCGGCATAGGTCTGGCCACCAGGGGGCGCCGCTTCGGACGAGGCCCGCTCGGGGCCACCAACTCCCTGAGCGGCAGCCAGCTTTTCCGCGTGCCTCTGCCGAGCCACATCCCTGCGCTGCTCCATCTCCTCCTGCGTCAGCGGCCTGTGGAAGACAAACACAGCGCGGGGTGTTTTCGGATTGCCGTGGACATGAACACAACACACCAGAGAGCCAGGGGGCGCTACAGACATGCAGCCATGAAGGTTCAAAGAGCGCCTGGATTACATCACCGCGTCTCGCACCACCTCCAGACAACAGAGACGTTCCACTTTGTTCTCAGGTGGCATCCGATGCTTCTCAAAGGGGACGTCTCTGGTGAGACCGCGGGCGCTGAGAATTCACCACCATCTCACTCACGTAAATATGCTGCTTAGGGTATATTGATCCATTTTCAGTCATTTATTATTCCTGGTACAGTTCTGGTGCCTTGGAACAATCCCAGAATGCACCAGTTGTATCTCACAACCTGATCAAGTATGCATCTTCAGATCTGCAGGACCGCAAATGAAGATACGGCTTCATATGGGGTTCCCTCCAGGTATGCCGCCGGGGAACGCGGTTTGGTACCCGGAGATTAACAAATGAGGGGTTGAGATTCGGAAGCAAGGAAAAAGAACCACAGGGCGGCAAGACACACTGGAGACGGGGGTGGAAATCGTGGGTCCTTGAAATAACGCACACACACCCCCCACCAACACGCCAATTTAAGTTTGGGGCTAAGAGTGATTAGCTGGTTTTTTTTGGCGCGCACAGACATTAAGCAGCACCGAGGTGCGGTGGCGTGACGACTAACGGCACTCGTTAGCTACACACTAACGATTTCATTAGTGAAACACTGAGCGCTTCCCCAGCGGTGAACTCCAGAGCCATAAACCCCAAACAGCCCAACCACAACAAACGAGAGCAATGAAATAAGGATATGAGGAGTCTTGACACAACTGAGCCAACCCCCCCCCCCTCCCACCACACCAGTACAAAAAAAAAAAAAAAAAAAAAAA